TATACAGAGGGCGGGGAAAGACAATCAGGGACAGGACATACATCATCAGCCCACCCTCAGTGGGAAGGGCTACAGTATAGGCAGGAAACACCTCATCACCCCTCCCCATCCAACCAGACACAGAACAATGGGATGCAACCATGTGGCCAAGGACATTGACCAACCCCCACACCAATACAAACAGTACATCCCATAATAGTTCTCTGGACAGGAAGACACAGCACAATGGGGGGTAGCACATGGCAGGGACAAAGGGACACACACTATACACAATACTGGGACATTCACATTCACATACACACCCTGTAACCCTTAACAGGCACAGGGTGGGTTAAACATAATGAGGGGGACATGAGCTGACCAAGCGGTCCCCCCACCCCCAAAAGTCACTCCCGTCACACTATTAGAAGGATTTTGAGCTTTAGTCACTTTTTTCAACACACTGCTATTATTTTGAACACAACTGTATGTATGTATGCATGCATGCATACATGTCTAAATGCTTTCATGTGTATGTATGTCTGTAGGTTACTTTTGATCCTGACCCCTACACACTGTACTGCCAGAATTGCTTTTCTAAGCTAGCAGGTGCTTTTTCAAGGCATGTACACACTAGCGGTAAGGAATGCCGCTCCTCTGAAAAGCAATTCATGCTCGAATTGGTTTTGACAGGCGGTGAGCAGGCGATATGTCACCTCCTCACTGTCTGCTTTAACCCCTTTAATGCAGCATCACTGTGCTGCAACCACATGCAGTGTATGTAGTTGCAGGGTGGTTGCAGCGAGGCCCCATTCATCAGTAATGCCCTTCAAATGCAACAGGGGGTATAATTCCTGCCATAATTACAAAGCATCGTGGCTACAGCATGTGTACAACCCTGGCTGCTACCTCTGCAGGTAAAGGGAGGGAAGATGGGGTGGTAAAAATGTGGCTCAATTCCCCCCAACCTGCCGTGTAAATGAGCTGTTAGGCCAAGTTCACACTATAGCAGTTCCTCTGCAAACTGCGTTTGCTTGAGCACGACTGCTCATTCATTTGAATTCTTTGTGGCTGTTGGCTTGTAGTTCTCAATGAACCACCATGGCACTGTTGAGCACTGTGGTAGTTCATGGCCTCTTCCGATCAGTGTGTATCGGCCTGCCCATATGATGTATGAGCAGACATATACACTGTCAAGTCTGCAGGAGTCCTGCATAGCACCCGTGATCTACTTATCGCGGGTGTAATGCTTTCTAGGCTTCAAGTAAAAAAAAAAAAAAAAAAAAAATTATATATAGATAGATAGAGGGGGGGGGGGGGGAGAGAGGAGAGAGAGAAACATTTTCTACCTGCAAAAAGATGTGCATTTTATTATGGTTTTTTTATATAAAGGTGAACTTATTAAAAATAATAGAAAAAACGATGGCCTTACACCAGCAGATTTAGACTGCCAGGTAGCGCTTTTGTTAGGTAGGTCATACAGATGCATTATGCTGATCCCTTGCAAAGTATCTAGACTATGGGGACAGCAAAAGAATAGATCATACAGTAACTACATACGATAGCATCCATATAAAACACCTTTATTATGCCTATCATTTGATTTAATATACAATATGTCACTAGGTTAAATTCAAGTAAAGCTTTGGTTTTGCTCGGCCCTAACTTTTAGACAAAGACAGCAACAAGAAGGCTCTCTTCCAGAGTGGAGGATTTTTTGTTTTTGGGTTGTGCGGGAAGTTGATTGTTGCAGACTGCTTGCCTGCTTCGGCATCCATCTACAGTGCAGGACTTTGTACAAACATTTCTTCAGGCAGTGGGGATGCCAAAGCAGAGCGTGAAAGTCAGCCAAGTGAGAAGGTGTCTGGATCAAGCAGGTCAGTAGATCTGCATGTTTTAAAAAGGCTATATGTATGTACAATTGTGTTCAAAATAATAGAAGTCAGACATCACTAACCTGATCAATCACTGTTTTTGGTAGAAATGATATTTCTACATGGCAAATAATTTACTAGCAGGTGTAGTAGAGTAATAGAAATCCAACAGACCCAACAATCATGACATGCATGTTGCTGATTCTGTGTAATTGAATCACTAATTGAAAGGGGCATGTTCAAAATAATAGCAGTGTGGAGTTCTATTAGTGAGGTCATTCATTCTTTGAAAAACAGGTGGCAATTATTGCCCTTATTTAAGGAAGGAAGGAAGGAAGGCAGCAAATGTTGTCCATGCTGGTTACAGTGCATTTCTCTCTGAAATTCAGAGGAAAATGGGTCGTTCCAGACATTGTTCAGAAGAACAGTGTACCTTGATTAAAAAGTTGATTGGAGAGGGGAAAACATATAAAGAAGTGCAGAAAATGATAGGCTGCTCAGCTAAAATGATCGCAAATGCTTTAAATCGGCAACCAAAACCTGAAAGACATGGAAGAAAGCGAAAAACTACCATTCGAATGGATAGAAGAATAGACAAAACGGCAAGGACTCAGCCAACAATCAGCTCCAGGAAGATGAAAGAAGGTCTAAAGTTACCTGTGAGTACTGTTACAATTAGAAGACACCTATGTGAAGCCAAGCTATCTGCAAGAAGCCCCGCAAAAACCCACTGTTGAAAAAAAGACGTGCTGAAGAGGTTACAATTTGCCAAGGAGCACATTGACTGGCCTAAAGAGAAATGGCGCAACATTTTGTGGACTGATGAAAGTAAGATTGTTCTTTTTGTGTCTAGTGGCCGGAGACAGTTTGTCAGACGACCCCCAAACACTGAATTCAAGCCACAGTACACTGTGAAGACAGTGAAGCATGGTGGTGCAAGCATCATGATATGGGGATGTTTCTCATACTACGGTGTTGGGCCTATTTATCGCATACCAGGGATCATGGATCGGTTTGAATAAATCAGAATACTTGAAGAGGTCATGCTGCCTTATGCTGAAGAGGAAATGCCCTTGAAATGGGTGTTCCAACAAGACAACGACAGAGGTCCTGGATCCTCTGTCCGGTTGTCAGCGCTTCAGCTGGCAGCTCCCTGGCTGGTTCCTCATCAGTAAAAAAGTTAATCAAATCCCCAGCCTTTGGAACTGGGGTTTGGGGATCGGGGCTCACCATCTCCTGTCCGTGGAACTCAGGAGACATTACCAGTGCTGGGCAGAGTTCAGTACTGTTTGGCCCTGTTGCCAGGTCTACTGCTGGTTCCTCCTCAGCTGAGAGGTCTATCAGATCCCCAGTCTCTGGAATTTCCACTGATGACTCTTGGGCATGCTGCCGAACATATCCTAGCAGTTGCCTGTATTCCTTTCCAGGTGCAGTTCTTTCATCAACCTGCCGTGTAAATGAGCTGTTAGGCCAAGTTCACACTATAGCAGTTCCTCTGCAAACTGCGTTTGCTTGAGCACGACTGCTCATTCATTTGAATGGGCTGCTGTGCCTGCAATTCATTAAGAAAAAATGTTTTTTTTTGAACTGCAGGAAATCGCATAGTGAAAGTGCCATGCAATTTCACAGCGGTTCCCACATCTGAAAGGCACCGCATATTTAGATGCATGGGGGTGCCGTTAACAATATATGGCAATCCCATGCGTCTGTAAAGATCAGCGCACTTTAGTTGTGGGTGCGGTAACAGCTGCGATTGCTGCACCCGCATTAGTATGAACCTTGCCTTAGACTGGGGTGCCTTGAGATTGAATATGCTTTCAAAAGGGCATCTTAACTTGAAAAGGTTAAGAAACACTGGCTTAAAAGGCTCATGGAGGGAAACTTTCCACACGTAAGAGTCATAGCTGTTGCGCACAGACGCCCATAGAACCATTGTACCTTTTTGTATATATCACAAATACATTTGGCTGTGCAGCTCACACAAAAAGGTAATTATTTCAGTATTTGCCAAGTCACAACAGTCATATTACAAGAAACAGAAAAGATAATATTTTAAATCAGGAGTTGGCAATCCCTGGCATGCATGCCATAAATGGCACGTGGTCGTATTCCTGTTGGCACACGAAGGAACCCTGGGAAATCCTACACATGAACAAAGCCGGCCAGCTGCTGCTCGTAGCTGGCTACCCAGGAGTGAGACCAGCTGCCCCTTTCCCGCCCACCTCATTCAGATTTCCTGCATTTAGCCAGCATAGATGCTTAGGTGATTGGTGTTCGGCCGGATCCAGGGTATGTTGCGCTTCCCCCCATGGATGCTGTTCCCGGCCTGCTAAGTTGCTTCATCCATTCCTGCACGGGCGCTCCACAGATCTCATCCTCCCACACATAGCTGAAATCAGACTCTCTTTTACAGACTAAACCATCATCTGCACAGTATATAGATGCCTGCTATGCTGCTGCTCTCAACTGTGAAATCTCCGGATCAGAAAAGCAGCAAAGCTGGGTGGGAAGGAGGAGCTCTGATGTGTGCCCTGCCAGCACTGACCACTGTCCTCTGCCCTGCTGACCCCAGACCTCTGCCCCATCCTCTGATCCCAGACCTCTGCCCCAATGATCCCAGACCTCTGCCCAGTTGACCCCTGTCCACTGCTTCGCTGATCCTATCCTCCGCCCTGCTGTCCTATGCTCCCCTGACCCTCGTCCTCTGCGCCGCTGACCCCAGTCCTCTACCCCACTAACCCCATCATCCGCTCTGCTGTACTATGTCCTGCTGACACCTGACCCCTGCACTGCTGAACCATGTTAGCTATTGGAAGGGCAGAAAGTACAATACAATTTAATACAGGAGGGATCAGAGGGCCCTGCTCATTTGAGCTTACAATCTAAATTCTGATGATCTGAGAAATGGGATGATCTGAGAAGTGAAGATGCAATAACTGGGCTGATCTCAAGAAGTCATTTACAGCATTTACGATTTAAAGATTCCGTTTCGTGACTGAAAAGTGCGCAGTTGACATTATTTTTAAGTAGCTAGTACTCCCGATTTCTTTGAAAACTTTTTTCGGCACACTGTGCTCAAAAGGATGCCTAATCGTTTTACATTATAAAAACAGATTACACTGGAAAAAAAAAAAAGTACCAACTTACCTTTTGATTCAATTACATTGTTGTCTCCAATCTTCATTGCATGAGAATCTGGATGTTGTTGTTAAGGTTTATTTAGGGGTATCATGCTTTTAGAAAATAAATAAAGGAATGATCTCTTTCTACCCAATAGCTATTTTAGAGAAGACTTTCACCAAGATACAGGAATCATATTAATGTGCTCATATAACTAAATATTGAAGTAGAACTTCATGAAGATATTTTTTTAAAAGCCAAATACCTTACACTATGCTGTTCAAATACAAAAAGCAGATATAAAGATAGACTACAGCCGCTCACTTTTGTCTTCTTTGCCTTAGCAGGAACAACCAAAAAAAGCCAAATGTTCCTGTTTAAAGCAGAACTTTACCCACAACCGTTTGAGAACAATGAACATTCTTTAACAAAAAAGGGTATACATTCCACATTAATGATTCTACCAAAATTTGTGTATGCTGTAAATTGCCTCCAGCGTTATTCCCGTTTCTTCTTGGTGAAAAGCTTCCATTTTGTCGAGGCCCAGAGCAGTCCCTTCTTTATTGGAAACTCTCCCCCTCTCCTTGGCCTGAAAAAGTATATGTCACTTTACGTAAGTAAATTTTGTACAGTTCCAGCCTTTTATGTATGTCTTAATTAAAGAGGAAAACCAAATTTCACAAGGAGGGAGAAAGGAGAGAAAATCAGGGAGATAAGAGAAGACACTATCCACTCCCTCAGCAGTAAATCTTTAGGCTGTCTGCTGATCGGCATCTATTGGCTCTGATTTTAGGCAAAGTGCTGAGCACAAAGAGCAACTGAGCATGTGCAGAGCTATTAGATTTTAAACAGTATAGGCACTTATTTTTAATGTTTTACATCGCTTTACCAGTAAAAGAGGCCTGAGGTGCTCTAACAGGACTTAATTGTCTTACTAAAGTTCCACTTTAAGGAATGCTCTAGCATTGCAGGTAACAGGGAGCCATTGAATGACTCCTGCAAAGTTGACTGCACTTCTGAATTCTATGCTGGGTGTTTGCTGACTAAAGTGTATTCAACTACAGTAGAAAAAAGTAGATAAGTGACCTGGTTTTGCTGTCTAGCAGGTGTGCCAGGATCAAACAAGGCTCAAAGAAACTACACACACAGTGGGTAAAATAAGTATTGGACACGTCATCATGTTTCTAGGTAAAATATAATTTCTAAAGTTGCCATTGACATGAAATTTTCACCACATGTTGGTAACAACCCATGCAATCCATACATACAAAGAAACCAAAAACAAACAGATTCAGAAGTTATGTGTAATAAAATGTAACGACACAGGGAAAAAAGTATTGAACGCATAAAGAAAGGGAGGTGCAAAAAGGCATGGAAAGCCAAGACACCAGCTCAAGTCTATCAGTAAATAGAAAGTAATCCTGCCCTTGTCAATGCAAATTAAGATCAGCTGGTTCAGTCTCAATTGATGACCTATAAAAAAGGTGTCTCATTACCAAGGTTTCACAGAAGAAACATCTCATGGTGGGTAAAAGCAAAGATCTCTCTCAAGACGTTTGCAACCTTATAGTTGCAAAACATACTGATGGCATTGGTTACAGAAGGATTTCTAAACTTTTGAATGTTCAGTGAGCACTGCTGGGGCCATAATCTTGTAGTGGAAAGAACATTTCACCATAAACTGGCCACAACCAGGTGTTCCTTGCAATATTTCTGACAGAGGAATGAAAAGAATTATCAAAAGAGTTGTCCAAGGACCACTTGTGGAGAGCTTCAGAATTAGTAGGTACAATTGTTTCAAAGAAAACAATAAGTAATACACTCAGCTGTCATGGCCTGTATGCATGCTCAAGCCACCATTGCTGAAGAAAAAGCATTTAAAGTTTGTTGCATAACATTTAGACAAGCCTGTGAAATACTGGGACATAATAGTCTGGTCAGCGAGACCAAAATTGAACTCTTTGGATGCCTTAATACACACCATGTTTGGAGGTCAAACGGCACTGCACATCACCCCAAAAACACCAACTTCATATCATTGAAAGAGAAGGATGAATGGAAAAATGTACCAACGCATTCTGGATAAAAATCTGCTGCCATCTACCAAGATGATGAAGAGGAAGATATTTTAGCAAGACAATGATCCCAAACACAAAGCCAAGGAAACTCTCAAGTGGTTTCAAAGAAAAAAAATAAAGCTGCTAGAATGGCCCAGCCAATCACCTGACTTGAATCCAATAGAAAATCTATGGAAAGAACTAAAGGTCAGCGTTCATAGAAGAGGCCCATGGAACCTTCAAGATTTGAAGACTGTTTGTGTGGAAGAACGGGCCAAAAATCACACCTGAGCAATGCATGCAACTAGTTTCTCCATACAGGAGGCGTCTTGAACGGATGTGGAGAAAAGGGTAATGTGGAGCATATATGGTGCAGTTGCCCAAGGATACAGGTCTATTGGAGGGAAATAGCTTATTATATCCAGGAAATATGTGAGGTAAATATCCAGGGAGACCCACTGAAATGCTTATTCTATTATTTTGAGCCAAATTTGGAAGTATATAGGAATAAAGTACTGTATCATTTAATCAGTGCAGCAAAGGGTTGATACCAAAATTCTGGTTAGTGGCAGATGCTCCGAAGAAGATGCTCCGAAGATGGTGGATTGGATAGATAGAGTGGAAGGTACTTTTAGAATGGAAGAACCGAGATGTTTAGAAAAGGATGGGAATGTTTAAAAGAATATGGAGCGAGTGGACGAATTTAAAAAAACTCAGAAACTAATACAGAATTAATTAAAGTAAAGGTGGTAGCCTAAGAAGTTAGAGTGACATTAGACGGAATAACAAGATATGGAGAAATGGATACGGATAAGATTGTGACGATGTAAGGAGGGGGAGGGAGAAGGTGTGGGTTAGAGAATGTATTTATATTTTGGAAAAAGGAGAAAAGTATATTGTGGAAGATGGAATATGTTTTAATGTTTGCTGATTTACTAAATAAAAAGTTAAATAAAAAAAAAAAAAAAAAAAAAAAAAAAAAAGGAGGCGTCTTGAAGGATTTTGTATGAAGCATTAAATAAATTTCAGTTAGCGTGTTCAATACTTTGCCGCTGTGTCACTCCATTTTACGACACATAACTTAACTTCTGAACTTATTAGCTGTGGTTTCTTTGTATATGTGGTATGCATGGGTTGTTACCAACATGTGTTGAAAATTCTAAATTTTTCATAGATAATGGTGTTAGTAAAGCAGAGATAAATGCTAGTTGCCACCCACTGTGTTCAATAACCCAATGTGTTTAATGCTTCCACAGCCATTAACTAGTAACAAGTGTGAAGAACATGACCATGTTTATCAGCATACTTGTCCCTGGCCAGAAAAGTACTGAAGCAAGAGGGTCAGTGAAGAAATGAGCATATTGAAGATATATTTGCAATGGCAGCTTCCATGTATATATATGTATCTCTCATTGTATGGATTTCTCAAAAATTAAACCAGCACAAAGCCATGTGTGAGCAAAGCTCTCATCTCGTATGTACCACTACCAGCCAACAGGTGATTATCTTAAAGACAGATGACCAGCTTTATCCCCTTTTTTTTTTTGTTTTCTGTACAGCTACGCTACAGTACATACATAGCATAGAGAAATCGGATTACATAATAAATATTACTGAACGCCTCATAGGAGAGAAACAATCCACTCCTTCATTGACCCATCTGATTAAGTAATTTAAGCAGAGGATGCAGGCATGCAGGCAGGGCAAATAGAAATATTTTCCCAATTCGGCATAATGAATGCACTGTATTATAAAATAGGGATTTTATACAACTACGTAGAAAAGACAAAAACTTCCATTAGCTAAAACTAACTGATATACATGTTTTTTCAGGCTGTCTTCCTAAAGCGGACCATACACTGTCTGAATTTCTGCCAATTCCTAGTGAAACAGTCAAATTTGCTTAGTTAGTGGCCCTGTCAGCATCCCCTCGCCCAACATCCTTTGATTAAAAAAAAAAATAAATAAATGAAGGTGCTGAAAGGAAAAAAAAACTTTCAGTCAAACAGTGGCTGCATCCAATCAGATGCAGCCGCTGTTCAGGTACTCTTGAGAGTCACTGCCACCAGCTGTCAGAATATAAGCACTGCAGGGGGATTTGTCCATCCGTGCTGTACAGCGTGGATGGAGGACTGTCATATTTTTCAATTAAGCCTCCAGACTGAAAGAAAAAAAAAAAAATCTTATAGTGTAAGGCCAGCTTTAGTAAATAATAGAGAGAGTAAAGCTAACCATACACAACTGATATTGCTTAATGGATACAGCATCCAACTTCAAACACATTGTTGGTCCCGATGACCATGGGTTTAGGCTCCACGTCTTCTGAGTCAGGTGCAATATTTTCAGGATAACTGTAAGGAAAAAAAAAAAAAAAAAAAAAAAAAAAAAAAAGGGAAGAGAAGACTATGTTTAGATACTGCCATCTAGGAAAAAAGTGACCCAACAACAAGGGAAAAATTAATTGTTATTTTATCGATCACAAGAGATGGCAACGATGATAGGGGAATTTATCAAAACTAGAACAGACAGAATCTAGAGCAGCTGTGCATGGCAACCGATCAGCAACTTACAGTGCCTTGAAAAAGTATTCATACCCCTTGAAATTTCCATATTTTCCCATGTTGCAACCAAAAATGTAAATGGATTTTATTGGTATTTTATGTGATAGACCAACACAAAGTGGCACATAATTGTGAAGTGGAAGGAAAATGAGAAATGGTTTTCAAAATTTTTTACAAATAATTATCTTAAAAGTGTGGTGTGCATTTGTATTCATCCCCCCAGTCAATACTTTGTAGAACCACCTTTTGCTGCAATTACAGCTGTAAGTCTTTTTGGGTATGTCTCTACCAGCTTTGAACATCTAGAGAGTTAAATTTTTGCCCATTCTTCTTTGCAAAATAGCCCAAGCTCTGTCAGATTGGATGGAGAGTATCTGTGAACAGCAATTTTCAAGTCTTGCTACAGATTCTCAATTGGATTTAGGTCTGGACTTTGACTGGGCCATTCTAACAGATGAATATGCTTTGATCTAAACCATTCCATTGTAGCTCTGGCTGTATGTTTACGGTCATTGTCCTGCTGGAAGGTGAACCTCCACCCCAGTCTCAAGCCTTTTGCAGACTAACAGGTTTTCTTCTAAGATTGCCCTGTATTTGGCTCCATCCATCTTCCCATCAACTCTGACCAGCTTCTCTGTCCCTGCTGAAGAAAAGCAATCCCACAACATGATGCTGCCACCACCACCATGTTTCCCAGTGTGGATGGTGTGTTCAGGGTGATGTGCAGTGTTAGTTTTCTGCCACACATAGCGTTTTGCTTTTAGGCCAAAAAGTTAAATTTTGGTCTCATCTGACTAGAGCTCCTTCTTCCACATATTTGCTGTGTCCCCCACATGGCTTCTCCCAAACTGCAAACAGGACTTCTTATGATTTTCTTTCAACAATGGCTTTCTTCTTAACACTCTTCCATAAAAGGCCAGATTTGTGGAGTGCACGACTAATAGTTGTCCTGTGGACAGATTCTCCCACCAGAGTTGTGGATCTCTGCAGCTCCTTCAGAGTTACCATGGCCCTCTTAGCTGCTTCTCTGATGAATGCTCTCCTTGCCCGGCCTGTCAGTTTAGGTGGACGGTCATGTCTTGGTAGGTTTGCAGCTGTGCCATACTCTTTCCATTTTTGAATGATGGATTGAACAGTGATATGTTTAAAGCTTGGGATATTTTATTATAACCTAACCCTGCTTTAAATTTATCCACAACTTTATCCCTGACCTGTCTGGTGCGTTTTCCTTGGCCTTCATGATGCTGTTTGTTCACTAATGCTCTCTAACAACCTCTGAGGGCTTCACAGAACAGCTGTATTTATATTGAGATTAAATTACACACAGGTGTACAGGTTACTAATTAAGTGACTTCTGAAGACAATTGGTTCCACTAGATTTTAGTTAGAGGTAGCAGAGTAAAGGGGGCTGAATACAAATGCACGTCACACTTTTCAGATATTTGTAAAAAATTTTGAAAACATTTATCATTTTCCTTCCACTTCACAATTATGTGCCACTTTGTGTTGATCTATCACATAAAATCCCAATAAAATACATTTTATGTTTTTGGTGACATGACAAAATGTGGAAAATTTCAAGGGGTATGAATACTTTTTCCAGGCACAGTATCTTCAGCTTGTTTAGCTAACGTTTGAAAATTAAAGATAAAAGCTGACTGGTTGCTATGCACAGCTGCTCCAGATTCTGGTTGCTCCAGTTTTACAGTTACACAGAAAGAAAAGACAAAGTATCAACTCTTCAGCTCCAAAACACACAGATGAGCTCAGTGCCAGATTAAACTCTGTGGAGGCCCCTAGGCAGTCAAAACCTGTAGGTTTGTTCTGCATGCACTTTAGCAAGATAATATTGAACTAAGTAGTGTACACGTTGGCCCCTAGATGGAGATGACCATCATTTCTGTACGTAGGTTGCTCAAACATTTTTTACAAGCTGACAGTTGAAAGAAGATGAGCTTTTAAGAGACAACCTGTAATGTGAACCCGATGTCTATGGCTTTTGTACTTGAAGTTTGTATTAGGTACTTTACATTAATACAGTATGTTCTCTATAGAGTCTTTAATGTAAAGTTTACATTTCTTTTTCTCTTTTTTAATCTTTTGTAAACAATTTAAGAACACTTCACTGTAATTTTAAGACCAAATCAATTTTATTTTGATCCATTGTCATGGAGCCCTTAGGCCAGTGCCTATTCTGCCTACTCATGACCTCAGCTGGTAGACCACACCATGAATGGTTTCATCCACGAGCGGACGTCACTTCCGGCGATGTCATATCCTCCTGTTGGAACACATGCTGGTTTCTTATACATGCGCAGCCATCTTTTCCTCCCTATGCAAGCCATATATACCCAGTGCTGGCTCTTATAGGCACCTACAAATGCAAGTGTGATTTTTTTTACAATACTTCTGTGTGTTTTAATAAAATAGATTTTACGCTATGAGATCCTCCTTGTTATTTTATTTGCATGCATGATGGTACACGATCTGAGAAGGACCCATCAGAACAAGCCATTGGAGACTCAGGGGTATATCCCCAAACACAAGCACTCCTGACCTGACTAGCAATAGTAGGTCAACAACTTGTAGTGAGTGTCTGTCTGTAGGGGAACACTGGAGGCACTGAGAAGTGGAGCACCTGTTTTGTTTACACCTGCACAAGCACTTTTATATCTGGGACTTTTTTCTTGGATTTATTCACTGTTTATATGACTACCTAATCTTAATGTTATTACGTGTTCTTACATGGCAAGACCACTTACTCTTATCTCACATATATATTATTATTATAGCCAAATTTACCACCCTAACTCCTCCCACAGTTTTTACACTACATAGACAGTAATGTACCGAAACGTGCGGATTGTTCCTGATTAGTGTGCTATTACTTTGTGGAACGTTTCACCGAATGGTTCACAAAATATCGGCATTTTTGTGGTGAAATTGGTCCCATAGGAATGAATGGCGGAATGTTCAAAACTAGAATGTGAGCTAAAAAAAATCAGGACATGATTTCTAAACTGCCATCACTCCCTCATTTTCAAGCCCACCTACACAAATCTTATATCAAAACGTTCAGCTATCCTTGCTGCCACTAAAGATGTCCTGATAGTTTTCACAATATGACCATTTGTTTGCAACTCACGCCGCCCATTGACATTCATTGAATCTCCACTCTAGCCACCTCAAATTTAAAGGGCAATTTCTAAACTGCGACTGTGCCTTCATTTTTAATATTTCAGAAACATACTATGCATCAAAATGTAGGTCTGGGTCTTGTGATTCTCACAATATAAAGCTCTTTGGTGTAGGATGTATAATTTTTAAATTACAACCGTTTGAAGATGGCAACCGCCAGTGAAGTGAGCAAGTTGGAGCAGTTTGTTTTTAACCGCTCTTCTCTGCCCTTGCTGTAGTGAGTTGCCATAGGAAACCAGGTGTGTGAGCAGGCAGCAGAGTGACAAAAGCTAGACTGAGTTGTAGGCTACTGGTGGAGGCAAGAACACTTCACACAATTTCCCCAGAAATTGTAGCTTTTCTAGTTTTGTATTGCTTTAGTAGGTCTGTTATGGTGTTTTTTTTTATTTTGTTTATGAAGGTTTAGAACAGCGCGGTTTATTTATTAAATTAGCAATTGCGATGAATTGTTCTACATCCATTGTTCTGCTGTACTGGAGAGGCCATAAGACCCAGCAAACTCATGATTGATCTGAAGGTTGAGATCAGGCTACTTCTTCTCCATAGGACATACCTGAACATCCTTGGATGGGAAGGGTGATATCTAAGTCTTCGCAGTTCTTTTTCAGGCATTCCATGAGCGTGTGCATGTTAGGTATCTATTAATTCGGCATAACATCTTTTATATTTTACCAAAAGATTGAGTATTATATTGTTTCTGTGCGCATTAAAATTCATTAAAGTGTATTTTCCAAGAAACTGCACTTGAATAAACACAAATACTGTGTGACAAAAATTACAAAACCAACCATTTTATTCTCTAGGGCCCTCACTTTTGAAAAAAAGTGATATTAAAAAATAAATATATAATGTTTGGGGGTTCCAAGTAATTTTCTAGCAAAGAAAAAAAAAAAGATGGGTTTTTTATACGCAGGAGAGGAATATCAGAAATGGCCCAAACTGGAAGTGGTTAACATCTGTCTGGGGTTTTTCTTTTTTTGGTGTGGGCAGAAAATGTCTCCACTGTAAAGTCTATAACGTAGCCTAGAAGCCATACCCTTTGGGCAGGAAATAGATTCAATGTTTCTAAATGTATAATCCAACCCATCTCATTCAGATAACTCAGAGTCTCAATTATACTTGTCCTTAGTTGAGGAAAAAAAAATCCATCTCTCTCTCTCAGGAGGTACCAGGGCCTCTGGGAGAACTCTGGTGAAAATGTCTCAGGGATCCTAAGATACCTTTGCTATAACTCTGTCAACATATGATCGACGTATTCCAAGGCCCTGATAATTTGGCATTACAAGATTCTTATCTTTTGCTTTTGGGCCTTTCAGGGGATCAGGAGGATTTTATCTGCATGGGCTTTGACCTGTAAAACAGCATATATGATAGCCATTACATTTTTGCTCCTGGCTAACACTGACTTCCCAGCAACAACTCACATTGATTGCCTAAGCAAAAAAAACTGTGCCTAGGCCCTGAATACCACTAGTAAAAGGCAAAATGCATTAAAATACACATTTTTGCTTATCCTAAAGTCACTGGTGGGGAGGAAGTGGAAGTTTGTCATTCAAACCAGATTTCTTAAAACCAAGTGTTACAAAATCCACAACAGTAAAATCAGTCTGTATATGCAGTAAAGCATGTTTGTTATACTCACTGTGGAACCTAAGGGGTTAATCCTCTGCATTGTGTCTTCTCTGATCCTTCCCTTCTTCTACCATCCCCCATCCATCTCCTGATGGAGCAGAGCCTTAGGGGCAACCTGCACATGCTCAGTTTGGTGTGTATTGGTAGAGGTTTTTTTTCTTCCTTGGGAGAGTGCATGTGATCAGCACAGGGCCAATCAGCACTGTCCAGACAGAGGGCCAGGGGGTTATGCAGCCTCATAGGACAATCAGGGGAGAATGAAAACACCTACACACTTTAACCATTGCTCTGCGGGACACTAATAGAAGTCACAAGACTGCTCTAAATGCTGATGAGAAAAGGTATTTAGCAGTTTATATTTGCTAAAATAATTGCATTTCCATGTTCTTTGTACTGTGGGAGACCAGATATAGTGAATGCAGGGTCCTGGGTTTAGTAACACTAAAGAGATAAAGGAACCCTCTAGGGAAAAAAGTAAAGTACATCATTTTGGATAAAAGTAGTAAGCTCATCTCCACAGGGATTCCCCGTACCCTATCTTTTGCGCCAGGTCCACGGTCCTGTGACAGCTGCCCAGACTGGGTTGGACCCCTTCATCTAGCCAAAACTAAAGGTACTGCATATAAAATTGTTGCTGCTACGCAAAATAAACATCTAGAACTGAGGCTGACAGGTAGCTGGTACTTTGTTTTTTGAATAGGAGTATTTTGTTTCCTGTTTTAGGTGGGCTTACCTAAACTCTCATGTGCTGTGCTGGAAGATGATTAGGGAAATCATAGTCTAATCAATATCAATAGAAAGAAGTCTCCTAGCAATCCTGATGCTGTCAAGCTGTCGCCAGTGTCACGGCTTATTGTTGCCATGTCAAAACCTGATCAAGTGGTCTGCAAGCAGTCCAATTCTTAAGAAGCTATTTTTAATTCAATGTTGAACAGGGGTATGGAGGGTAAAACATCAGGTTTTTATTCCTGGCCATGTCCTCCTTGGGTTTTTTGTTTGCCATCACTCTGTAATGCAATGACATGATAGAAACTAATAGGACATCTCCCCAGCGGGGACACAGACAGCACAGAAAGCTGGTCGTTATGAAATATCTGCATTTTGGGATGTTTCACAAGAGACATTTATCACCATCCTGTTCTATGTAACACACAAGACAGGAGATAAGGGTAAACTCCCAGAGGCACCAATAACACCCTTCTTTGAAGAGTTTTTCCTCTATACACTGCAAAATTAGGAATGTGTGAAATATGGTGTGTTACAGCAGGTGATGAGGTTCTACAGAAGTGCTCAGCAGGTTAAGGTCATATGCTATCTAGTCTGCCATTGACATTCAGATTGTTATAAAGCCCAAGCAAATTTTAGAGCCATGGGACTTTACCACCACCAACTTGGCATGTCCTGTATATTAAAAGAAAAAAATGCTATCTGCACTAATGTCACAGTGTCAGTCTCTTTCTGTCAAGCAAAGCCTCTGCATTCAACACCCTGGAAAGGTGTTGGGTGTAGAAATTTGTTTGTTTGGGGCGGGGGGTGGTGTGGAGAGATCAGTCACCTCTTACTGAACTGGTATGTATTATAAGTCTTCTTTTGCAATGTGGCTTGATTTAAAATTTTTTTATTCGAGTCAATGAGGAACTTTACCAATTACTTTGTTCTATTCACACAGGATATAAATGCCATGTTTCATGCCAAATATTTTACCCATTTCGTATAAAAGCCTGCTCTTCTATTAGATTGCCTTCGCCAATAATAATTGGTCCTGCTTCAGCATATATCCGCGCTTTGGGATGAACCACAGTTCTTGGACCTGTATGAGAAGAAGGGAACAAGGGTAACATAATATGAGATATATACACTAACCAGCCTCTTTATTACATACACCTGTTCAATTGCTTGGTAACACAAATTGTTAATCAGCCAATCACGTGGCAGCAACTCAATGCATTTAGGCATTTAGACGTAGCAAAAACAACTTGCTGAAGTTCAAACCGAGCATCAGAATGGGAAGAAAGGGGATTTAAGTGACTTTGAATGTGGCATGGTTGTTGGTGCCAGACGGGCTAGTCTCTTACGACCATCTCTTCACCGTTACGACCGCTCACACTTACGACCATCTCACCGACGGTACGTGCTAAAAACGTGGTTACGCGCTAAACGTGGTAGCGGACGTGGTAGCGGTGGTAGCGGCCCCTGCTGAAATTGTACACTATTCTGAGGTCCGGTACTGCTGGTTTCCTGGTCAGTATTCAGTACTGTAAATTACTGTATTTTTTTGCGATGCAAAGAAAAAAACTTTATAAACAGCTATACTGTACTATATACTGTACTGTATACAGTCCAGGATCTCTCTCAGGCCCACACAATACAGCACAGTAGTGTGACAATACTGTATACAGTACAGATATAGTACATTACAGTATGTACAGTACAGTGTAACTATTTATAAAGCTTTTTCTTCAAGCATACAAGTTGTGTGTGATCTGGGTGCCTTATTCTGTATTGTACTTTACCCCAGATGTCTCCAAAAAGGAAAAGCAAGGTTGCACCAGAAAATGCCAAGAAACAAAGGAAGGCTATTGATCTTGAGAAGAAAATAAAGATCATAAAGGATTATGAAGGTGGCAAAAAAGTCCATGAGATAGCACATGACTTGCATCTGGCACATTCAACCATTTCAACAATCCTTAAGGATAAAGATAGAGTAAAAGAGGCAGTGAAAGCATCAACAGGCTTTAAAGCCATAATAACTAGACAGCGGAAAGGCCTAATTCATGATATGGAGAAGTTACTGGCTATCTGGTTTGATGACCAGATTCAAAAAAGAATGCCATTGAACCTTTCAATAATTCAAGCCAAGGCACTCAATATCTTTGAGACTTTGCAAGCACGCAGCGGTTCAACCGAAACCTTTACAGCAAGTAACGGATGGTTTCAACGGTTTTCTCGAAGATTCAAGCTGCATAATCGGAGTGTCAGTGGTGAGGCAGCAAGTGCAGATGTAGAAGCAGCAGAAAAATTTGTTGACCAATTTGATAAAATCATAGAGCAAGGTGGCTACTGTCCAGAACAGATCTTCAATGTGGATGAAACTGGACTTTTTTGGAAGAAAATGCCTGAAAGATCCTATATACACAAAGAAGCTAAGACAATGCCTGGCTTTAAGGCATTTAAGGACAGGGTCACATTGTTGTTGGGAGGAAATGTTACCGGGTTTAAGTTGAAGCCTTTGCTTATCTATCGCTCTGAAAACCCACGTGCATTGAGCAGAGTTAGAAAGAACACACTGCCTGTTTACTACCGAGCAAATAACAAGGCATGGATGACTCAAGCTTTATTTGAGGATTGGTTCATCCACTGCTTCATACCCTCAGTGAAGCATTATTGTCAAGAAAAGGGCATTCCTTTTAAAATTATCCTCCTGCTTGATAATGCTCCAGGCCATCCCCAGTATCTTGATGACCTAAACACAGATGTAAAGATAGTATATCTACCTAAAAACACAACTTCAATCCTTCAGCCAATGGACCAGGGGGCCATAGCCACATTTAAAGCATACTATTTACGCACAACTTTTTCCAAAGCTGTAGCAGCAACAGAAAATGATGAAGTAACTCTCCGTGATTTCTGGAGATCTTACAACATTTTAGACTGCATAAACAACATTGAATCCGCTTGGAAGGGAGTGACAGAAAAGTGTATGCAAGGCATATGGAAAAAATGCCTAAAATGTTTTGTGAGCAATGTTACAGTTTTTGAGAAAGATGAACATATTGATGCCATAAATAAAACAACTATGGAACTTGCTAAAGTGCTTAATTTAGAAGTTGATGTGGAAGATATTGAGGAATTAGTGCAATACAGGGAGGGAGAGCTAACTACCGAAGATTTAATAGAGTTGGAAGCACAGCAGAACCTGGCGGAGGAGGAAGAAGAAAATGAAAACATGGAAGAAGTGCCAAAGAAGTTTACTGTGAAGGGATTAGCTGGTGTGTTCTCAAAAGTGAATGCAGCTATGTTCCAACTAGAGAGTATGGATCCGAATGTTGAACGATTCACAAAGGTGGAAAGACAAATAAGTCAAGTTTTACAGTGCTATCGTGAAATATATGAAGAAAAAAAGAAAATGACAAAGCAGACCACTCTAAGTGGATACTTTTGGAAAGTTACACCAAGCACTACCAATGCTTCAATTTCTACTCCATCGTCTCCCTTACCTGGGCCTTCAGCAGCTCCTGATAATAGCTCTGATGATGACGATTTTGAAGGATTCGTTGACTAAAATGATAGCCTGAATTTTTTTTTTTTTTTTTGTTTTGTTTTTTTTGTTTACTGTGGAAGTTTTCAGTTTGATATTTCTTGTTATTTTACTTATTCAGAATACTGTATTGTATTGTCAAATACTATGCATATACTGTATTGTACTACTGTACTGTAATACATTCCAGTACTGTGTGTAAATTACACAACCTATGCAAATTAAAACAAGTGGAAGTTTTCAGTTTGATCTTTCTTGTTATTTTACTTATTCAGAATACTGTATTGTCAAATACTATGCATATATTGTACTACTGTATACAGTACATGCAGTTCCTCACTTAACGACCAATTCGCTTAACGACCAAGTCGTTGAAACGGAACTCGGTCGTTAAGCGAGGAGTACCTGTATTTCAAAAACTGCTGATCTACTGGGATTGTCACACACAACCATCTCTAGGGTTTACAGAGAATGGTTCGAAAAAGAGAAAATATTCAGTGAGCGGCAGTTGTGTGGACGAACATGCCTGGTTGATGTCAGTGGTCAGAGGAGAATGGGCAGGCTGGTTCGAGATGACAGGCAACAGTAGCTCAAATAACCACTCATTACAAGCAAATTATGCAGAATACCATCTCTGAATGCACAAAGTGTTGAACCTTGAAGCAGATGGGCTACAGTAGCAGAAGACCACTCCGGGTGTCACTCCTGTCAGCTAAGAATGAGGCTACAATTCACATAGGCTCAACAAAATTGTACAAAAGAAGATTGGAAAAACGTTGCCTGGTCAAAAGAGTCTTAATTTCAGCTGCAACATTCAGATGGTAGAGTCAGAATTTGGCATAAACAACATGAAAGCATGGATCCATCCTGCCTTGTAAAAACGGTTCAGGCTGGTGGTGGTGTAATGGTGTGGGGGATAGGACTACAGTGTACCCATCTTCTGAAGGCTACTCCCAGCAGGATAATGCCCCATGTCACAAAGCTCAAATCATCTCAAACTGGTTTTTTGAACATGACAATGAGTTCACTGTACTCCAATGGCCTCCGGAACCACCAGATCTCAATCCAATAGAGCACCTTTGGGATGTGGTTGCAATGGGAGATTCGTATCATGGATGTGCAGCTGACAAATCTGCAGCAACTATGTGATGCTATCATGGCAATATGGACCAAAATCTCTGAAGAATGTCTCCAACCTCTTGTTGAATCTATGCCACAAAGAACTAAGGCAGTTCTGAAGGCAGAAGGGGTCCAACCCGGTACTAGCAAGGTGTACCTAATAAAGTGGCCAGTGAGTGTATGTATATCATGCCAACAATTTTAAAAATATTTTTTTTTTCTATTCTTTCTACTGCCATGACTTAAAACGGGAAATTTACTAAAACTGGTGCACTCAGAATCTGATGCAGCTGTGCATGGTAGCCAATCAGCTTCAAACTTCAGCTTGTTCAATTAGGCTTTGACAATAAAACCTGGAAGCTGATTGGTTACTATGAAGAGCTGTACCAGATTTTGCACTCTCCAGCTTTAATGAATAACCCCCAAAATGTGAACCATAAACCTCTCGAAACACATAATTCTATATAGAAAAACTGATCAAAAGCAAGCTAATCATATAATTCAAGTATTAATGGTAATCTATTCCAGGAACTGAAAACATAAACAATGATTGTTGATAATCGGGCTATATATTATAAAATTCCTTTTGGCTTCATTTTGCACATATATGGCCTTATGCAATCAATAATTCCTATTACTAATCCATCATGCACACATTCTCACTTGTGGCAGCCCTAAACACCCCCCAAGCCCCCGAAACTGATCTAACGTGGAATGCTCTACAGAGGCGTTTGACAGGAGAGGAAGGTGTGATATGTCACCTCCTCACCACCACTGTGCTGCAACTGTATGCATTCCATTCAATTGCAGGGCAGTTGCTCTGTGGACCCATTCACTCGAATGGGTCATGTTAGTCATGGTTACCACCCTGCTGTTTAATTTTTGCCACACCTGCGAAACGTGTACAGCCAACAGGAGCTATATGTCCTTGATTTGTTGGGGTGGTAAAAGAGTGGCTCAGATGTCTTCTTTTACTGCTTTCATCCAGCCATACATGAGTTGTTACAATAAGCTTCTCTTATTTGTTTCATTTTTGAAGTTTTAAAATATACCTTTGAAAATATTTTGTTATATCTGTTCAATAAATAAAAACAAAAAAACAAACTTGTAGATCCTGCAAGCATTCCACTAAGCCTGTAATATTCTGTTTGCTTCCCCTACTACACTGAATTTATAAAGCTGTATTCCAGGTATGGACATTTTTATTTTATTATTTATTTCAGGTACTTATATAGCGCCATCAATTTACACAGCACTTTACATATATATTGTACATTCACATCAGTCCCTAACCCTCAAGGGGGGTACAATCTAAGGTCCCTAACTCACATTCATACACATACTAGAGCCAATTTAGAATCCAATTAACCTAGCATCATGTCTTTGGAGTGTGGGAGGAAACTGGAATACCTGGAAGAAACCCACGCAGGCACAGGGAGAACATGCAAACTCCAGGCAGGTGGTGCCATGATTGGGATACGAACCAATGACCCTAGTATTGCCAGGCGGAAGTGCTAACCATTTAGCCACTGTGCTGCCACTATTTTTGCATAGTTACATAGGTCCAGCTTGGACCAATGTAAGTATGCATGGGCCATACCCGAGGGACTGCCACCAAGCAGCTCAGTAACCACAGGAGGTCACTCGTTTGAGATGGACATCATTCACAGAATGCCAAACTTTTTTTTTCAATGAATGCAAATTGTTCTCTGATTGAACGAGGAGGAGAAGCAGGTTGGTGACATTACAATTTATACCTCATTCAATCAGAAAATGCATTCTGTCCATTGAGAAAATTTCAAAGCATTATCTGAATGGCACTTGTCCCAAGTGAGTGACTGTGTTCATGATGCAGCAGGCCAGCCACTCTGCATGGCACCCGGAAGACCATGGTGATTGCTGCAGTGACAGCAACTATTACAGTGATTCTCCATTTCCACAGGGATCCCTTATAGAAGGCCAACATTCTGTGCATTTGTCCCTGAATGTATAGGGACTTAAATGTGGGTACCACTTGGTATAGTATTCAGCTTGCCACAGACCTTGACAGAATGCAGGCAGCAGGGCTGGATGTTGGACCTGTCCCTTCAGAGTGCACTACAGGTAGACGGCCCCGTGTGCAAGGGGCTCAAGACAGGAGGTGTGCTACTGGCCTTAAGCTTCAAAATATTATATTTTTCAGGGTTTAAAGCATATGTGAATCCTCGTCTTGTAAAACAATTTATTTAAAAAAAAGAAATGAAAACCAAAATATAAGTGTGTATATATATATATATACATACACATACACACACATACACACACACACAACACATATATATATATAAAAAAGTATACATACTTTTTTTTCCCCTTCATTCCCAGATTAATAGAAAGGTGGAAAAGAAGAAACAGCAGTAAACTAATCTTCCTAGTAAATGTCTGTTCGGGGTGGGGGGGGGGAGCATGTCAGGACAACTCTGATCATTGGAGGAGCACAGCTAGAGAACTGACCATGCTGTGCTCATCTTCCTAGTGTGGCCAGTTATTATTATACAGGATTTATATAGCGCCAACGGTTTGCTCAGCGCTTGTGGGAGACAATACAGCAACAATACAGTTCGATACAAAAGGGATTTGAGGGCCCTGCTCCTTGGAGTTTGCAATCTAGGAGTTTGTAATAGGAACGCAGAGGGACTGGCAAGAGCACCAGGTGTTGCACATAAAAAGATACAAAGAGAACAGAATACTTTTTCATACAAGTACATGATACAGCAGGCACATATCTCCAAGGAGCAGGGCCCTCCTATCCCTCTTGTATTGAACTGTATTGTTGCTGTATTGTCTCCCATTATATTGTAAAGTGCTGAGCCAACTGTTGGCGCTATATAAATCCTGTATAATAATAATAATAATAATATCAGGAATATGAAATGCTGGGTTTACATATTCTTTAATACTCTGTTAAATAACTTTTAGAAGAGGAAATTAAATGTGTACTGACCTATTGTCACGTCCCCCTTAATTTCACTTTCCACACACACAACTGCTCCCGGAGCAATTTTAACACTGAGGAAAAAAGAACAAATATTAGCATGACAGTTTCAACACATTACCTTATTTTCTCAAAGGTCAATGTTTTATTTTAGGAAACCTTAAAGGATAATTTCAATTTTGCAGATAAAAAAATGTGCATTTACTATTTTTTTTTGGATCCTGGAATGCATTGCATCAGTGACTCCTGCAAACTGTCAGTGTAACTGCTTGCCTGTACATCCCGTACGGGAAGCAGAAACAGTCTAACAGGAAGTCTCAATAAACTACCACAGTGCTCCACAGTGTTGTGGTAGTGAATTGAGAACTACAAGCTGACAGCCGCAGAGGTCAATAGCCATCAAGGAGCGTACTAAGGTCCCTATCTCACATTCATACACATACCAGGATCAATTTAGACAGGAGTCAATTAACCTATCAGTAGGTCTTTGGAGTGTGGGAGGAAACCGGAGTACCCAGAGGAGACCCACACAGGCACAGGAACATGAAAGAGAAGTGTGCAGGATTCCACAATTCCTGCTGGGAACTGTCAAAGCCAACTGTTAATCATAGGCAGCTGAGGCATTCCCTGTCCTACTGGCACACCTATACATTGCCTCTTGCATAGGTGCAGCTGTGGGGTGGGGAATGTATGCGTTGTCTATGACTGGCTATTATTGGTTTTGACAACTTTCTGGCAGGATAGCTCAGGTGGGTTTGGACTTTGCTAAAAATAAGCCTGTGCTCATCCCTAACTGCAATGTGTGTGACCAATCTAGAGTCTAATCACCATGTCTGTGTCTCAAATCACAAGATGTGCTGAGATAGCAACCCACTGGGATAGTGATATGACCACAGCTACCATACATAAAGCATTCTTGTCATACTCACCTCGGAACCTAAGGGTTTATTCCTCCACATTGTGCAAAAAGGCTGTTTGATTCTGGCTTCTCTGATCATCCCCTTCTTCCACAGGTTCCAATCCATTTGCTGATAGTACAGAGCTCTAGGAGTCACTGTGCACATGCTCTGTTTGGTGTGTAAGGGTGGCGAGGGAGGGTGAGTGTGCATAGGATCAGTACAATGTCAATCAGCACTGTCTGCACAGAGGGTCAGGGGTCCTGCAGCTTCATTGGACAGTCAGAAGAGGATGAAAACGCTTCCTACAGCTTCAACCAGTGTTCTGCTGGACACTGATAGAAGAAATCACAAGACTGTTCTAAATGCTTAGCAATTTCTATTTACAAAACTAATTGCATTTCCATGTTGTGTGTACTGTGAGAGACCAGATATAGTGAATGCAGGGTCCTGGGTTTAGTAACACTTTAAGCTAATCTTAAATTATACAATCTGATAGTACAATCTCCTTTACATCACCCTCAACTTTATAATGGAAGGGATCTGATAGAAAGTGATTGCATTGTATAGGTTTTTCCTGATATTACATAGTTTTGGTAAATGTATATGAGAGTGTCCAATCAGGTTGTAGTGTGTATGACCACCCTTAGACTGTTGGTTTCAGGGCAGCACAGTGGCTAAATGGTTGGCACTTCCACCTGGAAGTACTAGGATCGTTGGTTTGACTCCAAACCACGGCACCACCTGCCAGGAGTTTGCATGTTCTCCCTGTGCCTGCGTGGGTTTCCTCCCACACTCCTAAGACATGCTGGTAGGTTAATTGATTGGCTCCTATCTAAATTGGCCCCAGTATGTGTATGTATAAATGTGAGTTAGGGACCTTAGTTTGTACGCCCCTTAAGGGTTAGGGACTGATGTGAATGTACAATATATATATTACACACACACATACATGCAAAGCGCTGCATAAACTGACATCAATATAAGTACCTGTAATAAATAATAATAATAAAATAAATACCAATCAGTGACTGCTGCCCCTCTCGCCAATCCCTTCATTGGCTTTCACTAACCCAACGTATAAAATTCAAAATACTAACCACAGCTTACAAAGCCATCCACAACACTGCTCCTAGCTACATCACCAACCTCATCCACAGATATCATCCAAAATCGCCCGCTCTGCTCCTCCCAAGACATCTTGCTCTCTAGCTCCCTCACCACCTCCTCGCCTCCAGGACTTCTCCAGAGCCTCTCCCATCCACTGGAACTCCCTACCACAGTACGTCCGGTCAGCCCCCACCCTGTCAGCCTTTAGGCGATCTTTGAAAACTCACTTATTCAGGGAAACCTATCCCACCTCCACCTAAAAACTGTACTTGAGCCACCTGCATCAGAACATCGCATACAGCTATCACCTTTTGTATCACCTCCCCCTTCCTTTACATTGTAAGCTCCACGAGCAGGGCCCTCACATTCCTTCTGTACTGAAATGTATTGTAATTGTACTGCCTCCCTTATATTGTAAAGCGCTGCGCAAGCTGTTGGCGCTATATAAATCCTGTATAATAATAATAAATAATAAATAGAAACATGGATCTTAACCATTTGCTAACTGCGCTAGAGCAGAATGATGGCTACAGTGTGGTTGTCCAGTTCTGGGAGGGCGTCATATGATGTCTTTCCAGAACGCGCCCTCCTGCGCACCCCCAGCGTTGTGCACATGGCGATTTCCAGGTGATGAGGTAAAAGGCCAATCATAGCACCCTTTTATCACGTGATCAGCTGTGACAGCAGATCACGAGTAAATACAGTTGCCGGTTATCGGCTGCACTTTCCTCATGCTGTCACAGCGTGAGGAAAGTACTGCCGATTACCGGCAGCTGCCACATAGCAGATCGGCACTGTGCACATCAGTGCCTCCTCATCAATGCCCACCAGTGCCGCCTCATCAGTGCGTATCAGTGCTGCCTATCCTTGTCACCTCATCCGTGCCCATCAGTGCTGCCTATCCTTGCCAATTCATCAGTGCCTATCAGTGCAGCCTCATCAACGCACATCAGTGAAGGAGAAAAATTACCTGTTTGCAAAATTTTATAATAGAAACAAAGGAAAAAAATTTTTTTTCTTCAATTGTTTTTGCTCGTTTTTTGTTTATAACGCAAAAAATAAAACACCTAGCGGCGAATAAATACACCAAAAGAAAGCTCTATTTGTGTGGAAAAAATGATAAAAACCTCTTCCCTACCACGCTATAGCCGAAAGTCGGCTACAGCGCAGTTGTCTAGTTCTGGAGCAACGTCCATGGACGTCATTCCAGAACACGTCCCCAAAGAAGCTGATGATCGGTGTTCTACGGACACAGCTGATCACATGATACAGTCAGCGGCCTTTTACCACGTGATCAGCTGTGTCCAATGACAAACAGATCACCGGGTAAATACAGTTGCTGGTTATTGGCTGCACTTTCCTCATGCTGTCACAGCGTGAGGAAAGTACTGCCGATAACTGGCAACTGTCAGAGAAGTGATTGGCACTGATGATCAGTGCCCTAATGATCAGTTCCTAGCAGTGCTGCCCAGCAGTGCCTAACAGTGCCACCCAGCAGTGTCACATCATCAGTGCCTCCTATCAGTGCTGCCTATCCGTGCCACCTCATCAGTGCCGCCTATCAGTGCAGCCTCATCAACGCACATCAGTGAAGGAGAAAAACACCCAGTGGCGATTAAATACCACCAAAGCTCTATTAGTGAGAAAAAATGATAAAAATGTCATATGGGTACAGCGTTGCATGACCGCGCAATTGCCAAAGTGTGACAGCACTGAAAGCTGAAGATTGGCCTGGGCATGAAGGGGGTAGAAGTGCCCCCTGTAGGCAAGTGATTATTGTATAGAATCCTCCATGTTATGATAAATGACTTCATTTTCCAGGACTGGCTGGCACACATTTCCTTTAGTCAAGCACCAATCACAGTGCAGTATTTCAATAGTGTCAAAGCTCACTAACATACTCCAGACAATACAAACCTTCATCTTCACATACAGATGGATACATGCTAGGGGAACAAAGCTAGCTTCCTATTAAAGAGGGATGAACTGCTACTTATTCTATGAATTACAATATCACACACATCACAGTATTTGTAGAGGATAAAACCTGTCACCTCTTCTGCTGCAACTGTGCCTGTTTCAGGAGATCCGCCATCTTTCCGGGTAAGGAGTGGTAATTTCGGCGATCAGCTTATTTCCCTTTACCAATATCAGCCTCTGAACTCGAGAAAGACATTACCAATCAAATGAAACGCAATAGGAGAGTGGAACACGGAAGTGCTGCTGCTGCTGCTGGAGGTGTTTCCGGACATGCGCCAAAGCAGATGTGTTTAGGGTTTGCTATCAGGTGTGGTGTGTGGTTTCGTTAGAATTAATCATTGATAACTGCCTGTTATTGGTGTGAATGTGTGCAACATATACACAGCCAGTGTAATGAAACATGAAGCCAAATCATGTTTTAATTATGAGAGAATGGAGCATTGTTTGTCAGTTTTTTTTTTTTTTTTCACAAGAAGAGAAAGTAATGTGAAGTCTGGCCAAGCAGCACAGAACAGTGATGAAAACAGCTTTTATAGCACAGTAGGAAAAGGCTAGAACTTCCACAAGTTTTATGTGTACATCAAAAATGAGATTAAGTGCCCAGACACAGCAGGTACAAGTTGCGAATCGTATGGAAAGTCGCTAGGATTGCCACCTCATCCCTTTAAAACCGAACACATATTAACCACTTGCCTACTGGGCACTTATACCCCTTCCTGCCCATGCCAAGTTTCAGCTTTCAGCGCTGTCGCACTTCGAATGACAATTGCGCGGTCATGCAACACTGTACCCATATGAAATTTTTATAAATTTTTTTCACACAAATAGAGATTTCTTTTGGTGTTATTTACTCTCCGCTGGGTGTTTTATTTTTTACGCAATGAATAAAAAAAGAGCAAAAATTTTGAAAAAAAAAAAAAGTTTTTCTTTGTTTCTATTATAAAGTTTTGCAAACAGGTAATTTTTCTCCTTCACTGATGTGCGTTGATGAGGCTGCACTGATGGGCACTGATAGGCGGCACTGATGAGGTGGAACGTAAAGGCAGCACTGATGGGTACTGATAGGCAGCACTGATAGGTGGCACTGATGGGTGGCACTGACTGGTGGCTCTGCTGGGCACTGGTGGGTGGCACTACTAGGCACTGCTGGGCAAAGGTGGGTGGCACAGGTGGATGGCACTTGTGGGCAGCACTGGTGGGTGGCACTGATGGGCACAGGTGGGTGGCACTGATGATCGATGCCAATCTGTCCTCTGACAATTGCCAGTTATCGGCAGTACTTTCCTCATGCTGTGACAGCGTGAGGAAAGTGCAGCCGATAACTGGCAACTGCATTTACCAGTGATCTGCTGTGTCATTGGATAAGGCTGATCACGTGGTAAAAGGCTGCTGTGATTGGTCTTTTACCACAACACATGATCACCTGTGTCCATAGGACACAGGTGATCACAGAGATCGCCAGGTGCGCCCCCCCCCCTCGGGGGCATGTTCTGGGTGGACGTCATATTACGTCCTCCCAGAACTGGCTGACCGCGGTGAAGCCATCATTCGGCTATCTATGGTCGACAAGTGGTTAATTACACAGGTTCTTAAGCCAATTTAAGGAAGATAAAGCATTGGGTGAGTTTAATTGCCATCTTAATTAGCCACAGCACCTGTGTAATTAATATGTGTTCTGTTTTAAAGGGATGGGGTAGCAACCCTACAAGTCGCACTCTATGGTCCGCAATTAAAGCAGTCATATCGGTGCAATTCTGACTTGATAGGAGCCACACCGATTTTTAAGCACCTCCAATGACGGGCGCAAGGTGGTTCTCTCATTCTGATAGGACGTCATATAACGTCCTGCCATTCTCACCGCACATGCGCGGCGATCGGCGGTGCTCTGTGTCCCTTGGACACGGGATCACCGATCACAGAAAGAGCCGAAGATGTCGGCTCAGTCATGTGATCAGCTGTGTCCAATCACAGCTGATCACATGTAAACAGGGAAATGCCGGTTAGCGGCATTTCTCTCCTCTCGAGCTGTCACGCTGACAGCTCGAGAGGAGAGGAGAGCTGGTAATCGGCTTTCCGTGGAGGGGACATGTACACTGATCATCAGTGTGCCCTGATGATCAGTGTGGCCCCAGAAGTGCCACCTGTCAGAGTCCATCAGTGCCAGCTGAACAGTGCCACGTGCCAGTGCCCATCAGTGCCACAATGCCACATATCAGTGCATACCAGTGCACATCAATGCCACAAATCAGTGCCCATCTGAGCTGCCCTTCAGTGTCACCCATCAGTGTCAGTCAGTGTCACCTATCAATGCCAATCAGTACCACCTATCAGTGCTGCCAATCATTGCCACCTATCAGTGCCAGTCAGTGCCACTTAGTGTGCATCAGTGGCGCCTATCAGTGCTATATATCAGTGCTGCCTTTCAGTGCCATCAGTGATGCTTGTCAATGCCCATCAGTGTCCATTAGTGCATCTTATCAGTGCCCATCACTACAGCCTCATTAGTGTACATCAGTGAAGGAGAAAAATCACTTATTTACAAAATTTTATAACAAAACTAAGAAAAAAAACATTTTTTTTTTCAAAATTTTCAGTGGTTTTTGGTTTGTTTAAGAAAAATAAAATAACCCAGAGGTGATTAAATACCACCAAAATAAAGCTCTATCTGTCACAAAAAAATGATAAAAATGTCATATGGGTACAGTGTTGCATGACCGCGCAATTGTCATTCAAAGTGTGACAGCGCTGAAAGCTGGAAATTGGCCTGGGCAGGAAGGGGGTATAAGTGCCCTGTAGGCTAGTGGTTAAAGTACTGCATGCACTACTTCAGGTGCGACTTTCATAGACATCTGTGTCTTGCAAACCACAAATGTCTTGCAAGTCGCAGCTCAAGTCGGAATGATATCTGACTTTGATATTGTGCGACTTCGCTGGGAATCGCACGATTTCAGAGTCGGATCGGTGTGACCGGGGTGTAAAGGATAAGTACACTTTAGGGCTCTTTCACGCTAATGTTTCGATCGGGTCCGCCTGAAAAACAGGCAGGCGGACCTGATCGTAACCTCCATTCTCCTCTATGAAGTGGCAGGTATAAACGGACATCTCTGTTTACACCCGCCAACATCCGATCCCGCCAAATAGGGATGGATGGGGATCCAGGTCCCCTTCCATTTGTCAGATTGGGTCGGATGAAAATGGACAGGCAGTCCGTTTTCATCTGACCGCCCATTGAGGCAGCAGCGCGAGCGGACAAAGAGCTGTCATCCGCTTGCTCAGCGGGGATCAGCGGAGAGATCCCCTGCTGAGCAAGCGGATCCTCTGAACGGGTCTGCCCCATGTGAAAGGACCCTAAAAAAAAGTACACTTATCCTTTTTTTTGCTCCTCACCACAGATGTAACCTAGTTCGCCCTACTCCCTCCAGATGAATACTTCAATTGAAATTGCATCCACTGCAGTGTGAGTATGTCCCACAGACAAATCTTCTGTTTGCTAGTTATGCCTGCACATTTATTACTATTATTATTATACAGGATTTATATAAAACAAACAGTTTGCGCAGCACTTTAAAAAATAAAGGCAGACATTACGGTTACAATACAATTTGTTACAAGAGGAATTAGAGGGCCCTGCTTGTTAGAGCAATAGCTTCCCATAAACATCTATGGGACTGCCAACAGCCTCAGGACAAGAGCTCATGAATGTCTATGGGAATTCACTGTTCAGGCATAGCCAGCAAATAGAGGATTTGACCATAGGATGTAAAGAAACAGCGGAGGCCACAGCCATAGTTTAGAAGTTAGTATGCGGTTGGGAAGAGGGTGGATGGTCTAGGTTGGCACCTTGGGGGCAAAAGTATAAGTGCACTTTGTTTGATAGACAATTTACTTGGCAACCCCCAACATGCATGCCAAAGGTAGCACATGACACCGTTTCTGCTGTCTTGCAACCTTCTGCCATATGCAGAGCAGTGCAGGGAAGCGCGGTGAGACATTATGGTACGCTAGTGTCCACCAATCCATCTCCTGTGTCATTTCCAGGTGCTTGTATGTGACATCACATGCACCGGGGTTGGGTGCAAGAAGCTGATCAAGCAGAGACCAGCATGCCAGAACAGGTAGGTATGTGTTACTCGGCCTGCACCACTCTGCATTTGGGGGATCAGAGATGAGAAAAAACTGTTTTGATGGAGGACATGATGGTGTTACTGGGGGAGCATAATGGCCTGGGGTTAGTACAGGGCACTATTAATTATAAGTGGGAAGCTTGTGTGGGGCAGCAGCAGAACCTACCCAGTGCAGAGGGGGCATTCTGTGTACATGGGGAAACTGGCACATAGGGTACATAGGGGTCTACTTTAAGTCTTACACATAAATGGCCGTTGTCTGCATTTTGCATTACTTACTACTAACCCCTGAACTCTGCCATACTCACTCCTGATCCCTGGACTCTGTGTTACTTACTCGTGACTTCTGCTTCATTCCACGGACCATGCACACTGCATTACTTACTGCTGACCTCTGAACTCTGCATTACATACTACTGATCCCTGCACTCTGCGTTATAATCTCCTGACCTCTGAACGCAGCATGAATTACTCCTGACCCTGTATCTGGCCTTTCATACCTCTGCTGCACCCTGTGTTACAAGCTGCTGACCTCTGAAGTCTACATTACTTAATCCTGGCCCCTGCATTGTGCATTACATACTACTGATTCCTACACTCTGCATTTCTAATTACTAACTATGGAACTCTGCCTTGCTTATTCTTAACCCCAGCACTCTGTTTTACCTATTACCAACCCTTGAACCCTGTATTACTTATTCCTGACCCCAGCACTCTGCCTCCTACTACTGCTGTCACAACGGGGCATCGAGGGCTGATCCTATCGTAACATGGGTGAATATGTAACATGTTACGAAAGGCGCACTTACCCTTTAAAGTCGAGTGCACGTTTGGAGCCCTCACTATGTGCACGGTGGGGTTCCATGCTGCTACCGGGACTTGTAGTGGGAAACGCAGGACAGGTGGCTGTGGTCAGTGTTTGACACGGCCCACCTAATTGCAAGCTACAGTGGGAATATGCTTATTTTCACGGGGACCCAAGAGAGAACAG